CCTTTATATAGTCTTGTAATACTTTTCATTCCCTTTTAATTTCTAATTCTTTTAGTGCCTAATATCATATTTGACATTCAAGATAACGTAGTATAGTGTTTAGGGAGCTGGCCTAATAATTAAGAAACCTTGGGTTCCAGTCCTTTCCTGATACATACTGGTTGTGTGACCCCGGATGAGTCATTGACTCTTTCTGTGTCCTAGACAACTCTTTCAGATTATAAATTGCAGAATGGATGGAGAGGGAATTTCCTCCTTGAGAGTGCTCCGTACCAAATGAAATCATAGGTTCAGTCAACAAACGAAAGCTAGCACGTAGCTCTTTAAAAATGTGTGCGTGTACCAACAAACATATAACCACATCATACATGCTAACACCATCTGAACACACTTTGAAAAAGTCCAGGGATCAAAGATTTTTTGAGCAACAGGCTTGGAGTCCATAGACTCCTGGTTCAAATCCTGCCTGTCACCGTGACTGAACAAATCACTTAAAACTCTATTTCCTTATCTGTTAAATGGAGGAAATAATACTTGAACTACTCACTTTACTGAGTGGTTGTGACTTTGCAAACCTTAAAGCACTCTACAGTTAGGAATTATTGATATTATCGTAGCTTTTCCAAGTGAGAAATTGGACTCCAGCTACTCTCAAAGGAAATCACTCATTGTGATGTGCCAACCACTTTCCAGGTTCTTAACTTGGCATCTACAAGCTTGTTTTTAACATATTTTATTTTGATAACTTCATTTCTAAATAGCTGGTTTCCCTTGCAATCCTATGTGTTTTATTTTGTGTATTTAAAAGCATCATTCTGAGAAGGGAGAGGAGAGAAAGGGAAACATTTATGAAGCATTTGTCATGTGCCAGGCACTGGACTAATTAGCACAATACTCTCTCATTTGACCCTCACATCGACCCTGAAAGGTACATACTATGATGATCTCCATTTTATAGTTGAGGAAACTGAGGCAGACTGCGGTGAAGTGACTTGCCCAGGGTCACACAGCCAGTAAGTTTCTGAGAATTTGATTCAAATTAGGTCTTCCTGACTCCAGACCCAGTGATCTGTCGACTACAGGACTCCATAGACTTCACCAAACACTGTCGAAGGAGTCCAGGACACACATTTCTCGGCCTCTGAGATTTCTGGTTCTGCCTAGGGATCCAAAGCTCCCCCTCACGTCTAATTAAAGGGACAGTCTACGGTTAGCAGTTTCTACAGCAGTACTTACAGTTCAGTTGTACTGTGGCGTTTTCATCATGCTACTGAAAAGCTGGCAAATGGTGTGTGACTTTGCCCAGCACTAATGTCAGTACCACTCAGGTATCCTTTGTGATTGGGGAACCTCACACCTACTTTACATGACAGCCCTAGCTGCTCTAGGTCACAGGTTTCCCGACACAGATCCAGCCACGAAGGTTCTCAGGCTGCCTCAGGAGCTATTTTCAGTTTTTGTGTGGTGATGAATAGGTTTAGTAACTGGAGACCTTCCACTATGTGACATCCCCAACAAGAGATGTGGCCACTTGGACTAATTGGTGAGGCAAGCCAATAGAAGTTTGAGCTCTGCTTACAAAGGTGCTCCAAACCCAACATGCCTTCAGCCACTGGAAACACACAGGAATGCCACCAAAATATACCACATAGCACATTGTCTTATGTGTGATAAATTACTTTGCCCTGCTCTCTCCTTCATGAACACCCAGAAGCCTTTGCCTGGGTTGATAGCTATGATAAAGCAAATTTTGTGATCAACTTCCAAGCCTGTGATGTAAAAGAACGGTTATTATCATCATTAAGAAACCCTCAGTAGATCTCACCACGTGCCAAATACCATCCTATAATTCAGTCCCCTTCTCAGCTTCTCCCAACTTCCCTGGAAAAGCTGTCTGTGCTCAGGACATCCTTCCACTCTCTTCTGGACACTCTGGCTTCCAACCCCATCATCCAACTGAAAGTGCTTTCTCCAGAGTTACCAGTGATTTCTTACCTGCAAAATCGGATGGCATTTTCCTAGCCCTTATCTCTCTTGACCTTTCTGAAGCATTTGGCACCAATGAACACCCTCTCCCCTCCTACATACTCTTTCTTCTCTGGGTTTTTATGAGTCTACTCTGTGCTGTCTTCCTACCTGCTGGACCACTCCTTCTTAGTCTCCTTTGCTGGGTCTTCATCCATGACATGCCTACCGGTTGTGGGTGTCCCCAAGGATCTGTCCTGGGTCCTCTTCCCTCTATACTATCTCCCTTGGTGAACTCATCAGCTTCCATGGATTCAATTATCATCTCTATGTAGACGATGCCCACTTCTATTTATCCATCCCTAGTGTCTCCCCTGAGCTTTAGTCCCATATCACTAACAGTTGGTGCTGATATTTTAAACTGGCTATTCCACAAGCATCTCAAACTCGATATGTCCAAAGTAGAACACGTCTTTACCCCCAAACGTGCCCCCCCTTCCAAATTTCACAAACATTTGCAATCTTGATGTCATCTTCCACTACTTATTCCACATATCTAAGCATCTGCCAAATCTTGAGAAAAAAAAACCTTATAGACAGTTTCTCTGATAAAAGCCTCATATCTCAAATATAGAGAGAACTTTGTCAAATTTCTAAGAATATGAGTCATCTCCAATTGATAAATGGCCAAAGGTTATGAACAGGTAATTTTTGGAATAAGAAATCAAAGCTATATTTAATCATATGAAAAAATTCTGTAAGTCATCATTGATTATGAGAAATGCAAATTGAAACAATTTTGAGATACCGTCTCACACCTATCAGATTGGCTAAAATGATAGGAGGAAATGACATGTTGGGAGGGATGTGGAAAAATTGGAACACTAATTCACTGTTGGTGGAACTGTGAACTGATCCAACCATTTTGGAGAGCAGTCTAGAATTATGCCCAAAGAGTTATAAAACTATGTATACCCTTTGACCTACCAGGTCTGTTTCCCAAGGTGATGAGGGAAAAAGAAAAAGAACCTATATGTTCTAAAATGTTTATAGTAGCTCTCTTTCTGGTGGCAAAGAACCGAAAATTGAGGGGGATGCCCATCAATTGGAGAGTAGCTGAACAAGTTGTGGTATATGATTGTGATGGAATACTATTGTGCTGGAAGAAATGATGAGCTGGTTGATTTTAGAAAAACATGGAAAGACCTGCGTGAACTGATGCAGAGTGAAATGTGCAGGACCAAGAGAATACAGTATACAGTAACAGCAATAATGTTTGAAGTTTATTGTAACAGCAAATTAGTCTGAAGACTAACTGAATGCCTAAACTGTTCTGAGCAAGATGAATATTCAAAGCAACTACAGAGGACCTATGAAGGAAGATGTTGTCCACCTCCAGAGAAAGAACTGATGTATGGAAGAGTGTATCATAATAGTTTCTCATATGTGATTGTGTCAAATGTTAGCCTTCTCTAGTGAAGGTTTGGGAGGGACAGAAGGAGGGAGACAGCCTGGAACACAAAATGTAACAAATAAATAGATAATTTAAAATGAAAAAATATCCCCTTCTCTCCACTCACACAGCCATCATGCTAGCTTAGGCTTTTATCACCTCCCGCTTGAACAACTGCAATAGCCTCCTATTTGGACTGCCTGCCTCAAGCCATCCTCCACATAGTTACCAAAATAATTTTCCAAAAACATAAATCTGACCATATCCCCCTTCTCCTGCACTCAGTAATCTCAATGGCTCACTATTCCTTCTAGGATCAAATATAAACTCCTCTATTTAAAGATCTTGACAGCCTGGCCCCTTCCCATCTTTCCAGTCTTTCAATAGGTCACTTACCATCACACACTCTGTAGTCCAGTTATCCTGGCCCATTTGGGTCATATGTAATGCTTTATCTCCCATGTTCCTGCCTTTGCTTTTCCTGTCCACTATGCCAAGAACATTCTCCTTCCTGATATCTTCCTCTTAGAATCCCTCACTTCCTTCAAGACAGTTCAAGTGCCATCTCCCACAGGAAACCTCTCCTGGTCTCCTCCTCCCCTCCCCCGCCCGCTGCTGCCCCCATTTGTTAGTGCTTTCCCCTCTTAGTCCACTTTCCTTCTACTCTGTATCATGTATGTACCAATCCTTGTATCTGTCTTGTTCTGCCATTAGAACATAAAATCTCTGACAGCTAGGATGATTTTTATATTTTCTTCATACCTTCAGTGCTTAGCGTGGTGCCTGACACATAGTAAATGCTTAATCAGTGTTTTCTGATTGATCAGTTGATCCATTTGGGAGCTTGAGCATTAGCAGCTCAAAGCATAAAACCTTTAAGAAAAAAAAAAAGCCATAACATGCAGTCTGTCTTGGAAGAAGGCAAGGGCACTACTAGCTGCCTTCCAGTTTGAACTGGTTGGGAATAGAAATGTTAACTAGAATGTTGGAAGGGACCCCCTAGGTACAAAGGGTTTTGGAAGTCAGCAGAAAAGCCTGAAGTTTCTCTACTGGTTCCTTCTTAAGCTACCTATCGGTTTTCCCCACACCAGAAGTAACCACCTTCCAGTTGCCTTGGGTCCAGATTTTGTTGATTATACAACTGCTCTTAGAACTCTGGAGAGGAGCCCTCCTGCTAGGAGGTCAGTGCATAACAAATTTCAGTCATCAGACAGGGAACTTAAAAAGACATGAATGTTTCCAGCCATTTTCTGTCAGTGCTCGCAAGCCCCTGCTGTCTTGGAGATGACTGGGGCAGAGCCATGTGTTCTGAGTTAAAGCTGCTATGCATCAGATACAGATAAACAGCATCTCATCCTCTGTCCCACAGTCCGCCGCCAGTGGCTGTCATGTTTGAAACTTCACCACCCAGCCTACGCCCTGCTCAGTCATCCCTTGTTGACAGACACTTTCACGTCTTCCCTGCAGCAGCCTATCTTCCCTGCCTCTGGTGTTTGCCTACCATGGTGCCCACTGCATTTGAAGAGCCGATGGCTCATCAGCAAACGGTGTATATAGACAGGCCCCTAGCCCTTCTCCTTACTCCTATCGCTTTGGAGAGCGGTGTCGATGAACTCCGCGGCCGAATAAAAGAACTCGCTGAGGTTAAAGGTGGGGAGATCGTCAGCTTCCACTCCGTGGTATTCGATGGCCATGTCTCGGTAGTACTCTGGGCCCGTGTCTACATTCCATCGGCCATGGGCAGCATTCAGGACGTGGGTGAAGCCAGATTTCTCCAAACTATACCGGTCCAGTGCTGTGGCCCTGTGAAGCACAGTAAAAAGATATTGTGAGCTGCTTTCTGCATCTCCAAGGATCCACTCCTACAGGCACCATAACTGAAGCATCAAACCCAGGTAATAGTCAGTAGTTTTCACAGGCTCAGCATTTAGGTTTTGTAACAATCCAGTCTAACCCATACCAGAAAGGGATACCCACCATGATAAATGTCCATCCAGTGAGAGCTCCTCCTTGCAATTAAGCACCAGGGCATGGCCCATAGCAAGTGCTTAATCAATACTTGTTGACTGACTAGAAGGGAACCCACTGTGTCCCAAGGCAGTCCATTCTACAGATGGGTGCCTCTAATTGTGTGGAAGCCTTTCCTTACATCAAGTCCAAGTTGGCCTGTTAGCATCCTTCATCTGCTGTTCTTAGCTGTCCCTTCTGGGGCTGGACAGAACAAAATGAATCCCTCTTCCATGACACAACCCTTCAAATACTTGAAATGGTCCCCACCCCTATCCAATTCTCTAGAAAAACATTCCCATTTCTTTCTAATGGTCCTCATGTCAATCCCCCTTGCCCTCTCTCATCAATGTTTTGGTTTTTTAAACTGTGGTGTCCATGTGCTGAATAGTGTTTCCATTCAAAATGTTTTTATCTAGGAATACCTGGAAAATTCTTCTTGTGATTACAAGTTTGTTCAGTGCAATAATTTCCTCCAAAACACTGAATATTTGATATGAATAACAAATTTACCAATCCAGTGAAACTGCTCTTACTAAAACTTAATATAGTTTGGAGGGGTGGGGCAGTCAACACAATGGTTAGCCTTGGGGCCGGTAATGTATGGCCTCTTTTCTATCCCAGTGTGGCTCAGCCACCAAAAGCTCACATCTCTCCCTTGGGTCCATTTTCATCCAAGGCTGCCTTGCCTGTGACTTTCTTCTCCCTGTTGATTCCAAGGAGTAGCATGTCTCACATGAGAAGAAACACAATGGTGTTCACTGAGCATTTGAAGATATTTGCAAACAGATGATTAAAACAGTGGCCCAAGGAGAGGATGGACAGTGCCAGATTTTCTCTGTCTTGATCTTGGCTCCACCACAAGGACCATGGAGCTCCTCTTCTGCTTTTAATTTTTCTTCTTAAGAAACCTGGTTTTCATTGTTTGGATTTGTCCCTAAGTGTATATATAACAAACAATAAAATAATTTTGTTTTCAGGTCATAGATCTGTGCTTAATTAAAACCCCTGTTAATATCATCCAACTCACTAGCAGGCAATGGGCTGCTTTGTAGTAGAACTCAGTGGAAAAATGGGACTAAACTGTCCATGAAAGGAAAGATCGTATAAATCATAAAGTCTGAAATCTGGCTTCAGCAGTTGTATTTCAACCTTATAAATGGCAGTTTGGTCAATGTCAAAAGGCTATGTCAAAAACTGGGTCACATAAATGACAAATGTCAATGTTTGATGTTGCCACATTTCGGTCATGAATTTAACAAATATTTGCCAAGTGCCTACTAGGTTCAAGGCACTGGGTGTGCCTGCTCTCCAAGAATGTTCAAACTAACAGAGAAACAATAAATAAAAAGGGGATTGATATCAGTGCAAACGAAAGGGCCAGGCACACGCTATCATACATTTGAGGAAGGAGAGATCATGCTGCCTGGGAGTGCCAAAGGCTTCATGGTGGCATTAGCATCTGTGTTGGGCCTGAAAGGGAGGGATTTCAACAGAAAGATGAAGAGCTGGTTCAGTAGGAAGACAAATGGATTTGGAGTCAGAAGAACTGGGTTTAAATCAGCAACTTAATACGGGGGTAAGGTAACTAGGTGGCATGGGGCTGGGCCTCGAGGCAGGAAGACCTGTGTTCAAATCTTATCTCAGATATCTACTAGCTGTGTGACCCTAGGCAAGTTACATAACTGCTGCTTGCCTCAATGTCTTCATCTGTAAAATGAAGGGGTTGAACTAGATGACTTTGAAAGTTCCTTTCAGGGAGAGGTAGAATGGGGTGAATTATCTCACAAAAAAAAAAACAGAAAAGGCTCTTGCAGTGGAAACGGGGGAAGGTGAGAGGGAATGAGGGAATCTTATTCTCATAGGATTCAGCTTACAGAGGGAATGACATTCAATTGGGTATGGAAATCTGTCTTATCCTACAGGAAAATAAGGAGAGAAGGGGACAAGAGAGCAGGGGGATGATAGAGAAGAGGGCAGATTGGGAAAGGGGGTAATCAGAAGCAAATACTTCGAGGAGGGACAGGGTCAAAAGAAAGAATAAATGGGAGGGCAGGATAAGATTAAGAGAAATAGAGTTAGTTTTTCACAACATGTCTACTATGGAAGTGTTTTGCATAACTGCACATGTATAACCTATATTGAGTTGCTTGCCTTTTCATTGAGGGTGGGTGGGGAGGGAGGAAGGGAGAAAATTTGGAACCCAAAGTTTTAAAAACATGTTTAAAAAAAATGTTTTCACATGCAACTGGGAAATAAGAAATACAGGAAATGGGGTACAGAAGTCTATCCTGCCCTATAGGAAAATAGAAGGGGAAGGGGATAAGAAAAGGGGGGGAGAGATAGAAGAGAAGGCAGACTAGGGGAAGGGGTATTCAGAATGCATGCCATCTTGGGGTGGGAGGAGGGGCAAGATGGGATAAAAATTTGGAACTCAAAATCTTGTGGAAGTAAATATTGAAAACTAAAAATAAATAAATTTATATTTTTAAAAAAAAAGTTCCATTCAGCTCTAAGTCTACGTATGATTCTGTGAGCTTGAGTGATAGACAGGGAATTAGGAGATTTAGGTCCAAATCCTCTCCTCCAGTACTTGTTAACAGTGTGACTATAGCCCAGTTGTAAACTCTCAAAAACTTAGTTCCCTTCTCTATAGAATGGGGATTGCTGTCCTCATAGGTCTGTTGCCTGCCATGATTTTCAACTCTGAAATTCCCTTTTCTGATGACAATCTCCTCTCCTTCTGCCCCACTCCTTCCAGATTAATTCTTTCTCTCCACAAACTATAGTCCTTCCCTTATTCTGGCCTCCCAGTCCATCACTTTGGTCATTCCTGTCTTCAGAATCCCAATAGTTGTATTTTCCCTTTTTTTGTTGGTTTTTTCTTTCTCAAGGTTTTTCCCTTTTGCTCTGATTCTTCTTTCACAACCTGACTAATGTGGAAATAAGTTTAACATAATTGTACACGTATAGTCTATATATGATTGCTTGGGGAGGGGGGGGAAATTTGGAACTCAAAATCTTATAAAAGTGAATGTTGAAAATAATTAAATGCTATTACTTGGGGGGGGGGGGAATCCCAATAGTTGGCCAGTTCAACGTTATGTTGTCCATCACCTTTGACTCCTCTGATGCTTGCCCTCCTGCTATTCCTGTTCTAACAGTGCTCCATACTAGACAGAGTCATAACAATGATGAGGCAATGAAACATACAGATATTGTTTTCTCCCAGTTTTTCTCTTATCTGACTACTCTTTCCCAATCTCCTTTGTTGAATCATCATCTATCTCCTGGCCCCTTTTCTATGAGTGACCTCCAGACCTCTGTCCTGAGTCCTCTTCTTTCTAATGTGTAGGAGATACTAGCTCCTGTGGAGCCAAGTATCACCTCCATGCAGATATCAATTGCAGGTGCAGATATCAAAATCAATAGGGTCAGACCTACCCTGTCTTCCGAAATTGAGTCCTGCATCTCCAGCTGCCTGCTGGACATCTCCAGTTGGATGTCCCATAGACATTTCAAACTCCACATGTCGAAGATATTAATTATTATCTTCAAGTGTCAAACTGAGCTGGTGTTTGTGTTTTATCCTGGAGACAATAAGAGTCACAGGTTTTTGAGCAGAAAAATGGCCCATTCCAACTTGTACTTTTAGGAACCTTTTGACAGCTACATGGAGAGGGAAGAGATAGGAAGCCCAGAGCCCAGTTAGAAGGCTATTTTCATTGTCCAGATGAGAGATTATGAAGGCCTGAATATGGTGTTGGCCGTGTAAGTGGAGAGCAGACGGGCAAAAGTGATGCAGCGGGTAGAGAGAACTGGCAAATGACTAGACATGGAGGGGCGGGGGTTGTGATGAAGTACTTTAGTGCTATAAGAAATAAAGAAGTAGATGATTTCAAAGAGACATGGGAAGACTTACATGAACTAATTCAGAAAGAAGTGAGAAGGACCAGAAGAACAATGTACATTATGACACCAACACTACAGAAATGAACAATTTTGAGGGCTTTAATAAGCTGATAAAGAATGAAGTAAGCAGGGGCAGCTAGGTGGCACAGTGGATAGGGCACCGGCCCTGGAGTCAGGAGAACCTGAGTTCAAATCTGGTCTCAGACCACATACTTGTCACTTACTAGCTGTGTGACCCTGGGTAAGTCACTTAACCCCAACTGTCTAAAAAAAAAAAAAGAATGAAGTAAGCAGAATCAAGAGGACAATGGACACAATAATAAACAGCACCATAAAAACAAATTTGGAAATTCTAAAGATGAGGATTAATAACAATAACCATTCATGATTCCAGAGGACCAATGATGAAACCTGCTTTCTGTGACAGAGGGGAGGGGAATTTAGGGTGCAAAATGAGACATGTCTATTTTTTATGTCCAGCCAATGAGGGAATTTGTTTTGCTTGACTATATATTTTTCATACAAGAAATTTGATTTTCTTTTTTTTCCCCAGTGGGCTGGGAATTGAGAGGAAAATAAACTAATTCATTATTTTTTTTTAATTAGAGAGGTGGGGAGAGAGTGCTACAGATGTGAAATGTTTTATGTACTTTTAGATGAGGTTGCCGTACTATTAGTTTTACTTCACTGCTTTACAATGTTATAAGAGACTTCTCATGAAATACATGTTTATTATTTAAAAACAAAACACATCAATATAACTTTTTTTAAAAAAAATTCAAGAGATGGGTGAGGATAAGAGAGAGAAAGAGTCAATGATGACCTGGAGGATTTGAACCTGGGTTCAGGATGATGGTTCCCTCCAGAGAAACAGGGAAGTTTGG